GTAGTATGTTTTGTAAAAGTCAAGTTTCTTTAAGTCATATAAGTAATTTTTTTGTGTTATAAGAAATTATAAGCCTGGCATATTTTTATGAAACTTTCTTCTCTCAATAGTTTTTATTTCTGTGGATGCCTGATTTTTAAGTTTTAAAGCTGTATTTTGTCACTTTCTTTTTTTTTTAAGTTTTGAATTTAAAGCTTCTGAAAAATTTGTAATAATTTCTATTGAATGCAACTGTAGGTATAATACAATAAATACTAGGATTATTTGTGAGCTTTTTAGCAACTGGTATTTTAATAGACACTGAATCTTGTATCTACTTATATTTCTGGTTGTTTTTTTGCTTGACTATTAGAAAGCAGAAAAATAAATTTATTAAGTATAGGTATTGAACTGCATTTTGTAAGTTAGTATTACATAGTTTATTTCTAACATTTTACTTTCTTTCTTATTTCTCAGTCCTTTTGTAGTGTGTGTATGTGTGTGTATGTGTGTGTGCGCGCGCGCGCGCCTATTGTAAGCTGCCCTAAATACTTTTCTATAACGTTGTTGGCTTTTAAGTAAAGTACAGATATTTAATTTTTAGAATAGATCGTGTACTTAAATTGTTTCAAAGTAATTCAGTGAGAAAATAAAATAACAATATGCATTTCAGTAGTTCTTAACTTTTTTAGGGTCATATTTGGTAATTGGTTGAAAGCTATGGATTTTCTCTTAAAAATTTTTTTTTAGTTTATTAATCTTTAAAAAGAGATGGGATGGGGAGGGGGAGAGAGAGAGAGAGAGAGAGAGAGAGAGAGAGAGAGAGAGAGAACGAACAGAAACATCGATTTGTTGTTCCACTTATTTATGCATTCATTGGTTGATTCCTGTATATGCCCTGAACAGTGATTGAACCCACAATTTAAGATGCTCTAACCAACTGAGCTACCTGAGCTACCCGGTAGGAGTTGGATTTTCTCTTAAGAAAAATGCTCAGAAGATCGATGGATTTCAGCTTAAGAACTCCACAACTGTCTCCAATATTGGTGACTCTTTATTTTCATTCCAAGCAAAGCAAAGCAATGCAAAGCAAAACAAAGCAAACCAAAACAAAAACTTTGATTTGTAGAGTCACTTATTTTATTTTTTAATCATTTGAAATATTCTTACCAAGGCTTGAAAGTGCTTATTTAAATTTATTTTAGGATAAAAATTAGTTTGTTAATAAAATTAGTAATTTTATTAAATTAATGCCTATATAAAGTAAAATATTAAAATAATACTGAAATATATATAAGTAATAGCCTCTTCTCTCATATCTCCAGTCTTTGTATTTTTTAAAAGATAAAAACATCTTTTCATGATAAAACTTTCAACATATTAACTATGGAAGGAATGTATCTCAACAAAATAAAGGCCATCTATGACAAGCCCACAGCTAACATCATACTCAATGGCAAAAATTGAAAGCTTTTCCTCTAAAATCAGGAATAAGACAAGGATTCCTCCTCTCACCACTTTCATCACAGTACTGGAGTTCTAGCCAGTTCAGTTAGGCAAGAAAAAGAAATAAAAGGTATCCAAATTGGAAAGGGAGAAGTAAAATTTTCTTTGTTTGTAGATGCATTATATTTTAATTCTATACCTAAGAGTACTGAGATTTTCACTCACTCCCACTTCCCCTTCAGTCTTTAAATGTTTGGGTAGTTATGTTCACTTCATCTATTGCTTAGTTTTGACACTTTAAATAATGTTCTTACATCTCTATTTTTCATTCTAGCAAATTTTATGTTATCTCTTAAGTTTGCACTTTGTAAGGTACAGATATTCTTATCTCTCCCTATTCTTCCTCTACCTCTTCTATTCCCCCTTATCAGCTGAGTGTCTGTCAATTGTAGTGTTATTTTAACACTGTCAAGGTTGAAAAAAATTATATTCTCTTCGATCACATATATCTTGCATTTGTGGGGTGTAATAAGGATTCTAAAAGCTGAAAATCAATTAACCATTCTTTCACTATTAGGATTTGTAGTAGAATTAAGTAGTATTTTTGTGTTACTCTTCTTTCTTGATTAGCACTCTCTGGGCCCCTTTTTTTCTAGCTCAGGAAAATTTCTTTACCTAAATTTTCTTTGTCCTCTCTATTAATTTCTATTATTAGTTGAAAGTTGGAGGTATTGAATGTCTTCTTTCTGTCTTTTTTCCTTTATTTTTTTGTTTCTTGTATTTTTACTTTACGTATTAGGATTGTTGCCCCATTTTACTTTTGGTTATCATTTAAGGCATTATCTTTTTTAGCCTATGTATTTATTATTGTTCTTCTGCAAAGCCTCTGAAGATCTAATGGTTTTCATTTTTGTTCTCTTCTGATTTTTGAATGATCTGCTTCCTTCAGATTTTTTTTTTTTACCTTTTTTTGGTTATTTTTCTTTCATTATTAGCTTTTTTCACTCATCTAGTGATTCTTGATTGTCAGTTCATGTTTGTGAATGGATTCTTGATTGTCAGTTCATGTGTGTGAATGATGGGATAGGTTGATATTTCTGGGTAAGTGGTTTTGATTTTCTTGCTATCTTTTTTTTTAATCAATCTCTTGGAGCCCTGTGTACATGATGGTGCTTATTGACCAGTCAGTTCATAGGGTGAGCACTCAGGGAACCAGTCTTTAAGCAAGGAGTTTTTCAAAATGCCAGATCGGGACAGGTTTTACTTTCTGATGCCAATATATTCTCTTTCCCCACTCCTCCCCTCCTCCCCATTTCCCTTTGGAACTTCCTTTGGTTTCTTTAGAGATTTGTTTTTGTTTTTTTCTTTTACATAGCTTCCCTTCCACTTTTCACTGCTGCTTACCATTTCACCTATTTCCTTTAGGAAGCCTTTCTGGACTTCTGTCTGGCTTACTCAGCCGTGGTCTTCTCTGGCACTTAGTTTGGGCATTAATTTCCTTCATTGTTTTATCTGTCAGTACATGCTTCTTTTCTTCCATCTTCCTACAGTTTGTTAATATTTCTTATCTCCCTCTAAGTCTCCTATTGATAATAGATATACCAAGTTACTGATAAATATCGAATATTGCTACAGAAGAGTATATCATAGTAAGAACACCTTGCAATTTTGTAGATTAATGATTTGTCTTTTTTTTTTGCTGTGTCTAGTCTTTCTGTCCATACATGTCTTGAAACCTGTGTACATGAATGGGGGTTATTGACTGGTGGGTCCCCCCACTCCACCCTCAGGTTGGTTCAAATTAGGCAGCATTGAGGTGTTGTATACACTTATAGTATAGACTGGCATCATTGAGGTGTTGTATATACTTACAGTATAGGCTGGCAAGGGCGAGATAACCTACACTGCAGATCTAGATAGACAAGCACAGACCAGACTTTGGGAGGTCACAGAATTAGCAAGAAAAATAATAGAGGTAAAGTGGATAAGAATATGACCTCAGGAATACGATTCTTTGTAGTTATATTCTTTTTACAGCACTTCCTAATTTTATGATGCTGGTCAAGTAGTGTAATTTCTCTAAATTTTAGGGTTTTTATTGGTAAAATTAGGGATTGTAATAGTATCTTATGATTGTGAGAATTGATGAGCTAATCTGTTTAAGTACTTAGCAGAGTAAGTGCTCAGCAAAGGGCAACTGAAGAGAATTTAAATAAAAAATCTAGGTTACTGGATTTTATTGAAAAATTAGAATATCTAGTATTCTTGAATGGTAACAGTTGTTTACGGCTGAGTAGTGTCTGCCCCTTTTAAAATGGGGTAATTGCTTTCCAGCTTGCCATAGCTCCCAATATTCCTTTTTATTTTTAAAAATATATTTTTAATGATTTTAGAGAGGAAGGGAGAGGGAGTGATAGAAACATCAATGATGTGAGAGAATCATTGATTGGCTGCCTCCTGTACGCCCCCCCCCCCCCTTTGGGGATAGAGCCCACAACCTGGGCATGTGCCCTTGACCAGAATAGAACCTGGGACCCTTCGTTCTGCAGGCCGTAGCTCTATCCACTGAGCAAAACCGGCTAGGGTCCAATATTCCTTATTGTCTTACACTTTGCTTGTTTCATTCATTTATATTATCTGCTTTGCATTTGGATTTGTGACTCTGAGGTTACTGGTTTCAGCTATAGCTAAAAGAATATCTAGTTTTTAGAACTGGGTTTTCTTTGGCATTAGGATGAATCAATACAGAAGGCAGAAATACAGACAGCATTAGAAGAATAATTCAGGCAAGGGAGTGCCATCTCATCCAGAAAGTGACTTAGGAACGCTTGTAGCACTTTGGTTGGCATATGTGGAGTTTGGTGATGTGCTTCAGGTGAATGAAGAGCCTGTTATGGGGTCTGATGATATGTAACTGGGAGGGTTTTAGATAGAAATCATGCAGCTGAAGCCTAGAAATGTTTAGAGATGGAAATAACTCATTTATGAATCTACAATAGCTGTTGACTGACCTAAGTGCCCAACAGTGTGCTAGGTTCACAGATCACAGTTACATAAAATAAGAGCCCTTGTCATTAGATACTATAAGTAATTATAATACTGTGCATAATATAAGAATATCTTTAGAAATCTCCTGGTCTAATCCTCCTGTTTTACAACCACTAAAATAAGATTAGACAGATTAAACCTTGTCTAAAGTTTTATAACTATTTGGGATTCCAAGACTCCTTTTTTTTTCTAATCCTGTGCTCTTTCTAGTATTAGACAGGCAGCATTAAAGAGGTCTGGATACCGAAGATCCCAAGATCTGGGAGAAGGGTTCAAAGATTGGGACTTAGGTATGAGGGAAGGTTATGTTACCTTATATAAGAGTTACTCTTAGAAGGTTGGAGCCAGAGTTTCTTCTTGGGGGCTTGAAGAAGTAAGTGTCCATGTCAGAGAAACCCTTGTGGCAAGGAACTGTAGGTACCCTGTAGGACCTGAGGGGTGGCTTCCATCTGGAGAGCTAGCAAAAAGCTGAGCCCCTCAGTCTTACACTGCAAGGTTATGAATTCTGCCCACAATCTGAAGGAACATGCAAGAGGATTCTTTCCAACTTCAGTCCCCAGATGAGAAAGCAGCCTAGCCTAGCTGATACCATGAATGAAGCCTGTGAAAACTCAAGCAAATGACTCAGCTGAGCCATATCCAGACTTCTGATCCATGGAAACTGTGAGCTAATAAATGTGTATTGCTGCTGAGTTTTTGATAATTTGTTATGCAACAATAGAATACTAATACTTTTGAGTCCAAGTATATTGTATTTTTTAGTGTAGTGTCATTATATAATAAACACAACACTTTGCCATCTAATTTGAAATACATAATCACTCCGTTTAAACGCATGATAGTCACTGCAGTTTGTGGTATGCTGGGCAGCAGTGTGAAATGATAAGTGCCACATAGGATCTCTTGCAACTACTCAACTGTTCTCTTACAGCATAATGCAGCCATTACAATACATAAACAAATTAGCGTGGATTCATTTTCATAAAAATTTATCTATGAACACTAAAATTTTGAATTTTATATAATTTTCATGTGTCGCAAAATGTTATAATCCTTTTATTTCCCCAGCCATATAAAAATGTAAAGACCATTTTTAGTTTGCAGCTTGTACAAAATAGGCAACAGGCTGGATTTAGCCTGAAGTTTGGCTGGAGTTTGCTGACCATGGCTGTAGACAAACTTGAAGGCAATTCTGTGTGTTTTTTAAAAAAATCTTTATTGTTGAAAGTATTACATAGGTCCTCCTTTTTCCTCTATTAATCTCTTCCAGCCTGCTCTCCCCTCCCCCAGGCCCTCACCACCCCATTGTCTGTGTCCATGGGTTATGCATATATGCATACAAGTTCATTAGTTGATCTCTTCCCACCCACCTTACCCTGCCTTCCCTCTGAGGTTCAACAGTCTTTTCATGCTTCTGTGACACTGGGTCTATTTTTGATAATTAGTTTATTTTTTTCATTAGATCCCACATTTGAGTGAGATCATGTGATACTTATCTCTCTCTGACTGGCTTATTTTGCTCAGCATAATGCTCTCCAGGTCTAGGCAATTCTAATATTATTTGAAGGTACTATTATAAGGAAAGTATTAGCATTATTTGAGATTCTTAAGAAAATATTTTAATAAAAATATAATTTGTTAAAAATATTTAAAAAACGAAAAATCTTTTATTAAAGTTTATGGACAGTTTCCTGAATGTGGTGAACTAGATGGAGTGAAGTAGGAAACAGCTTCATTTCTCACTAACTAGTACAGTTGACCCCTTGAATAATGCAGGTGGATTTTTTTTCAATTGACCCTTGTAGTTCAATTTCTCTGCACAGGTGGAGGGCTGACTGTAGTTATTCAGAGATATTTGGCACCCCCAACCACTCATGTTGTTCAAGGGACAACTGTATATACTTTGATTATTCTTCTTCACTCATAGATGATATCCTAATGAGTTCTGCCCCATTCCATTTTTTCAATTTAATAGGACTTTAACAACTGTCTAATAGTTTTAAAATCCTGTTTCTAATTTTAATATCAGAGTCATCTTGGAATCTGTTTTCTTTGTTTCCCAGTTGTGGGTACTACTCACTGCTTATTTGCATGTCTGGTACTTTTTAACTGTATGTGGACATTATGAATTCAACATGGTTTAGAGTCTTGATTTTTTGTCTTTTCAAGTATGTTGAAATATGTTCTGATTCTGATGCACAAAATGAACTAACAAGCAAAATAAAGACAGACTCACAGATAGCAGGCTGACAAATCTGAGGGGTGGGGTGGGTTGTGGGGTTGGGTTGTGGGGTGGAGGAATTCAGAAAAAAAGGAAAAAAAGGAAAAGCTCTTGGTCACAAATAACAGTGTGGTGATTGCTGGGGGCAGAAGAAGGGGGTGGAAGGAAATAGAGGGAGGTGGAGGAAGAGGAGTGTATAGAAGGGGATGAATGAGATGGAAGGAGACTTGACTTGGGGTGGTGAACACACAATACAGTGTACAGATGATGTGTTGTGGAATTGTGTACCAGAAACCTATATAATTTTGTTAACTAATAGAACTACATTAAGTTCAATAAAAAGGAAAATAACATTTTAAAAAAGTATGTTGAATTATGTTCTGAATGCAGTTAATTTAATTGGAGCTATTCTTAATCTTGTCTAGGCTTGCTTTTAGGCCTCAGTTGGAATAGTCTATAGTAGTTCTTTCTCTAGGTCAGCAATTTTCAGCCAGTGTGCACAAGAATTTTTAAAACATTTAATACTTGACTGTTTAGTCAGGGGCACTGACCTCTTTTCCCTTAGATTGTCAAATAAAAAAATGACAATAGCCAACACAACAATAGCCATCTGGTGTGAATGAAAATCAAAATTACACTTTTTTTTTGTCAGATCGGCAAAAAACATATTTTTTGGTGTGCCGCAGAATTTTAGTAATTAAGTTTATGTGTGCCATGAGATAAAAAGGGTGAAAATCACTCCTCTGGGTTATGGTCTTTACTCTTAAGACCTGGTCTTTGTGGTGTCTCATCTGAATTCCTGGGATATTAATGAGGTTCCTCCATGACTAGACAGGAACTTTAAGGTCTTCCAGCACTGTGCAGCCGTTAGTGTCTCTGTTATTCATTTGTCCCTTTAGTAGCCATTGCCTGCTAGGTATTTCAGAATATTGCCCCTCACATATGTAGCCTAGCCGTCTGCCTTACCATTCCCTAGCCCCGAAACTGCACAACTGCCTCATCTTCAGCATCATGTCCTACAAATTCCACTTATTTCACCATCCCCAAACACTGATCTGTGATCACTGTTTGCTGCCTGAGCTTCACCTGCCTGGGCTGTAATCAGATAATTGTCCTTAGACCAGCGGTTCTCAACCTGTGGGTCGTGACCCCTTTGGGGGTCAAACGACCCTTTCACAGGGGTCGCCTAAGACCATCGGAAAACACATATATAATTACATATTGTTTTTGTGATTAATCACTATGCTTTAATTATGTTCAATTTGTAACAATGAAATTGGGGGTCACCACAACATGAGGAACTGTATTAAAGGGTCATGGTATTAGGAAGGTTGAGAACCACTGCCTTAGACAGAGCTTGGGCGAAGGTGAGACCCACCTTTCCTGTTTCTCTTTTTTCAAAGACCAGTCTTCCCTGCCTAGTATCCAATGCTTGAAAGCAAGTGCTTCATGTGTTTTTGTCCAGTTTTATAGTTATAGCAGGAAGGGAAGTTCAGTATCCAGTTACTCCATTATAGCAGAAAACAAAATAAACAGTATGTATATGTAAAACTCAATTCTGTTTTATATATACCAAACAGATGCTTACAGTTTCACCTGCAAAATAGAGTATGGTAAATATAATAAATTTTTTTTTTTTAATAAATAGATTGGATGTTAGAACTAATTGCATATTTGGGTGGGGGTTGCTAAAAATCAGAAAATATTTTTTGTTTAAACCCTTGTTATAATTGCATTATATAACAAAATAGGAATAAATAGGAATAAAAAGGCCTTGCTATTGATCCTAGTTTCTATATTAGTGAGTATCTATTGAAGTCGAAGTGTCTTTAATTGCAAATAATAGGAATCAAATTGTTCAAGCAAAAATAGGCACATTTAAGCTTGCAGATTTACTGCAGAATCGAGATATGGTTGATGGGTGAAATTCCTAGAGAACATGAATAGGGCAGAAGTCCCCAAAAGCTTTGAAATTTTTCTTTGAGCTTTAGTGTTTTCATCAGTATATTAAAAAATTAAAAACCTTCCTTCTCTACCTCATTAGGTTGATGACTGCCAACAATTCTTAACCTTGCCAAATTATACTTATTTTTTTAAGGCCTAGTGCAGATGTTACATAAGAATTAATTCTTTTTCTTGATAGGTAGCAAGAGTGATCTTTGTATTATCAATTCTGAATACCATTTCCTTGTACACCTGGTGGGTAATAAATATTTGGATAAATGAAGATCAAATGAGAATGTGTATTTGATGAAGACTTTGGAAATTAAGTGTCTGAGCATGTGAAAGATATTTTTATTAAGACCTTTCACCAATTTGCAAAGTATTCTCTTTTTCTGCTTTTAAATTGAAAATCTTATAGTAACTTATTGGAATTTTTATAGTGTTTTTTTTTTTAATTGAAGTGATTTTAAGTTGGAAAGTCTAGGTTAGTGAATGTATATTGGCTTATTAAATACTCAATACATTTTTGTTACTTTTTAATTTTAAGAAGTAACTGAAACCCTAATTTCTTTGTTTTGTTTTTGTGAACTCTCTGTATATCCTTTATAGAAATAAAGAATAATGGTTAATTTAAGAGTCAACTGTGGTTTGGTTTATAGTGGGCATCAGTAAATAGCAATAATCCATTGCCTGAACTTGTGTTAACTTCCCAAACATATATTTTTTAATTCTATAAGTTGACTAATTTTCTTTTCTAATTATTTTAGTTCTCTATCAAGATCAGTGCACATCATTGAAAAGAAAATTTTGAAGACATGTTTTGCTGAAAAGACAACTGAGAAACATCTTACGAATGGGATGAACACGCACCAGTTAATTGACTACCTACTACAATTTGAATGTTAACATTACCTGCCTGGTACAGTTACCTAGTGATGTACCTATTCTCACAATACCCTACTTCAGTGTGCTTGTCTTGATTAAAGAATTCAAAGTGGAGTACCGCAAACTTGATATGGATAATAAAAAGAAAGACAAGGACAAATCAGATGATAGAATGGCACGACCTAGTGGTCGGTCGGGACACAATACTCGAGGACCTGGGTCTTCCTCCTCTGGAGTTTTAATGGTTGGACCTAACTTTAGAGTTGGAAAAAAAATTGGATGTGGCAATTTTGGAGAATTACGATTAGGTAAGACTCTTTAGTTTATTCCTTTATGTTGGAAGCATTTTTTAAAAAATGAAAGACACTTTCTAATGAAAATGATTTAGTTATTTAATTGTTTAATTTATTGCAATAATTTTAAAGAATATGAATATTGTAAATTTTTTACGTACTTGAATATTTATTTGTAAGGAATTCCCTAATGTATGAATATTTATTTACTTAAGATTTGCCACTCAGCATATGAGAAGAAAAGGAAGTAAATGATAAAGTCCCAGCAGGCTGAAATAGGTGCCAGGAAAGCCATTTCAGTGTATTCCTTAGGAATGATACTTAGGCTACTTATTCAGATTTGAAAACATTTAGTAACTGATCACTTTGGGAGGATATGTATGGCTTAAAGTCAAGGTAATATATTGAGACTATAAAAATCAGTAAAATTTACATGGCAGTTTATTCACTTTCACTCCCCCAAGTATATTCAGGGTGAGGTTCAGGGTGGGGGACACAAAATACTATCTGCAGTATCCTATCTAATAAAAGAGTAATATGCAAATTAACCGTCACTCCCTCACTCCATCACAAAGATGGCAGCGGCCACGGCGCTGGAGCGAGCAGGAGGCTTGGGTTGTTGCCCCGGCAATGGAGGAAGCCAAGCTTCCTGCCTGCCCTGGCTGGTCCTGAGCTCCGCTCAAGGCTACAAAGTTTCAATTATAGACAATGAATAAACCCCAGATAGCTGCTTCCAGCCATCATCCCCTCACCCAGGCTGGCCAGGTACCCCAGTAGGGCCCCCACCCTGAAGGGGCTTGGCCAGCCTGAAAACGGCCCTCAGCCCCTCACCCAGGCTGGCCAGGCACCCCAGCGGGACCCCCACCCTGATCCGGGACATCCTTCAGGGAAAAACAGCCAGCCCCCACCCGTGCACCAGGCCTCTATCTACACTAATAAAAGACAAAGATGCTAATTGACTGTAACTTTGCTACGCCCAAGCCACACCCACTAGCCAATCAGAGTGACTATATACAAATTAACCCAACCAAGATGGCGGCCGGCAGTCACGGAGCTGGAGCAAGCAAGAGGCTTGGTTGCCCCAGCGTTGAGGAAGCCAAGCTTCCACCTGCTCTGGCTGGCTGTGGCCTCCGAAAAAGGCAACAAAGTTTCAAGTATAGAAGCTAAATAAATCCCAGATACCTGCTTCCAGCCAGCCTCCACTGGGAGCTTGGGTGGCTGGGAGGCTTGGCCAGCCTACAAACAGCCATCAGCCCCTCACCCAGATTGGCCAGGGACCCCAGCAGGACCCTCCACCCTGAAGGGGCTGTGGCCAGCCTGGAAACCGCCATCAGCCCCTCACCCAGGCTGGCCAGGCACCCCAGCAGGACCCCGACCCTGATCCGGGATACCCTTCAGGGCAAACCAGCCGGTCCCCACCCATGCACCAGGCCTCTATCCTATATAGTAAAAGGGTAATATGCAAATTGACCCTAACAGCAGAACGACTGGAAATGACTGGTCACTATGACACACACTGACCACCAGGGGGCAGACGCTCAATGCAGGAGCTGCCCCCTGGTGGTCAGTGGGCTCCCACAGGCGGAGCTCTGCTCAGCCACAAGCCAGGCTGACGGCTGCCTGCACAGCGGTTTGTGGTGGGAGCCTTTCCCGCCTCCTCAGCAGCGCTAAGGATGTCCGACTACAGCTTAGGCCTACTCCCCGCTGGCAAGTGGACATCCCCTGAGGGCTCCCGGGCTGCCAGAGGGATGTCTGATTGCCAGCTTAGGCCCAGTCTCCCGGGGAGCGGGCCTAAGCCAGCAGGTGGTCATTCCCCAAGGGGTCCCAGACTGCGAGAGGGCACAGGCCAGGCTGAGGGACCCTCCCGAGTGCACAAATTTTTGTGCACTGGGCCTCTAGTCCTATATAATAAAAGGGTAATATGCAAATTGACCCTAAAAGCATAATGACTGGGAATGACTGGTCACTATGACACACACTGACCACTATGGGGCAGATGCTCAATGCAGGAGCTGCCCCCTGGTGGACAGTGCGCTCCCATAGGGGGATCTCTGCTCAGCCACAAGCCAGGCTGATGGCTGTCAGCACTGTGGTGGTGGCTGAGCCTCTCCCGCCTCCTCAGCAGTGCTAAGGATGTCCAACTGCAGCTTAGGCCTGCTCCCCGCTGGCAAGTGGACATCCCCCGAGGGCTCCTGAGCTGCCAGAGCGATGTCTGGCTGCCAGCTTAGACCCAAACCCTCAGGGAGCGGGCCTAAGCCAGCAGGTGGACATCCCCCAAAGGGTCCCAGACTGCCAGAGGGCACAGGCTGGACTGAGGGACCCCCCTGAATGCACAAATTTTTGTGCTCTGGGCCTCTAGTATTCTTATAATCAGGCATGTTTGAGAAACATTGGTACATTTAAATTTCCTATGTACATTTAAGGAAATTGAAAGTCAGGGAAGTTTACCTGCCAGATGTAACACAGCAATTTCAGGACAAACTCAGGACCAAAATCTAGGTTTTTAACTCATATTGGAGATGTGGCTGTGTTTACTAAACAAGAGAAACAAGGAGGAGGGCAACATGGTTATATGGGAGTCAGTATTGAGGTTCCTTGAGGGCTCTGGTCAATGGACCACAAATAGTGGAAATTTTAGGAAAAACAACAACAATAACAAAAACTTGTTCATAAATTTTTTTAGATCCAACACTACTTGTTAGAAATAAGTTCAGTTGTGTGTTCCTCAACTACTTTTCCTTTTCATCTTGTAAAATACCCTAATTCGTACTTACTTTTTCATTTTATTAGTGTGTTTTGTTGTTAATGTACTTTAAATCTTAAATTAGGCAAGCTAGTAAAAGGTAATGACATACTTTGTACATAGGTATATTATGATGTGACTGGTGGACTCTTGCATTTTAGTAGGTACTCAAATGTTTTAAAGGGTGCATGTTTGACTTTTTTTAAAAGGATATTGAATTAGATATTTTGAAGTTCTTAAACTGTTTCTGACTTTGGACTTGGAAAAATAAGTTTATTTACTTGTCTACCTTTGAGCATCGTCATCCATCCATTCAAAATTCATTGCATGTTTATCATGTATGAGACATGATAAGGCACTGATAATACACTGGAAAAATATAAAAATTGTCCTTGCCATTATGGAACACAGAAGTCATTTAACCATTTGGGGCATCAAATTCCTTAACTTTAAAATGGGATCATTTCCACTTTCTAGGTTATTGTGAAGATTAAATTTAGATGACAATATGAAGGGACCAGCATTTTGCTTGCATATTTTAGGAAAGCAGTGATTCTGCTCCTTTAAAAGGCGATTTCAAGATATTTGTTCTTTTTAAAAATTAAAATTATGGCATGTTATATGTATATTTAAACTTATATAAATTAGCTATACAGATGTATGTTGTTATATATATTTATATTATATCTATTGTGTATATGACTATAATACTATAGCACTTTGGCCATTTTTATTCAAAACTGGTTTCATAGAGTTCATTTCTAAATAACTACATGTATATACATATCTGTAGTATGTATATATGTGTATGTATATGTGTGTGTGTATACATATACACAAAAAATATCTAGTGAACCATTTTAACCAGGGCAATATGAGAAATTATATGTACCATATACTGAATCTATATATGCTATAAAATGAAAAAGTTGTTAAATACCCCTTTCTTTTGCAGTCTATAAGCAGGCAGAGAAATAAGATGATTTATTAATCCATCCATCTATCCATTCATCTATTATCTACTTATCTATTTTTTTATCTGTATCTATTCTTCCTCTGGATGTTTATTGAAAATTTGTATATGTTTATTTAAATATATTATCTATATCTTTATATGTACCTGTGTTTTGTGTATATTTATAATATACAGTTGACCCTTGAACAACTATCTAATAAAGGAACATTTTATTCCATTTTTGAAGGCCCCAAATGAGTTCTTGGTACAGAAAAAATTATTATTTAGTATAATTCTTTCTATACCTGGAATAACATGCTAATGTTAAAAGCCAGTTTAGTTTTGTTTTGTTAATCTTCACCTGGGGATATTTTTCTATTGATTTTTCTTTGGGTGTGGGGGAGGAAAGAGACAGAGAGAAAAATATCAATGCGAGAGAGACAAATTGATTGGTTGTCTTGGGGATTCGAATCTGCAAGCTAGGTACATGCCCTTGATTGGAATTGAACCCACGACCCTTTGGTGAGCTGGCTGACATTCTGACCAATGAGAAGCACTGGCAGGGGCTGGTTTATAAAGTGCTTTTTAAAAAACCACATTAGTTTTTTCCATAATTGTGGTGGATTAAGTGGAAGCTACACTGATACTCTCCCAAACTGGAATTAAAATATAGAAATACCATCTGGAAAATCAACGGAAGACTAGCTGGAGAGAACCCTTGTAACTAAGGACATAAAGTGGAGACTACATAGAGACTGGTAGGAAGTGCAGAGGCATGAGTGGGCTGACCAGGCATGAGAGGAGGGAGCCCGATTCCAGGTTGCATCACCCGAGAACTGCCCTCTCACAACCTGGGACCACTCAGGGGATGTTGGAGAGCCGGTTTTGGCCCGATCCCTGCAGGCCAGGCTGAGGGGCCCCATGGGTGCACAAATCTGTGCACTGGGCCTGTAGTCAACAATAAAGATAAATAAAAAATAAAAACCACTTTAATAGAGACATCTCAAACATCTGATTACTGGCACTAAAACTTTTGTGATTAATATTGGGTAAGAAATAGTATAAGTTATACATATTTTAGGTAAGTGGCTTTCAACAAAGGTGCTATTAGCATTTGGGGCTGGACAGGTGTTTTTTTTTTTTTTTTTTTGTGAGGACTGTTCCACACACTGCCTGGTGTTCAAACTGTTGGACACTAACTAGGAGTTGCACTTGCACAACCCCAAGTGCTCCAAGAAGAGACAGTATTACTCACTGTTGAAACTACTCTTCTTGGTAATTATTTTAAAAAAAAAAGGTTGAACATAAAAAAATTGT